CAAACATTCAACATAGATGTAAACGTTGTTAAGCACTTAAGGTACAACACACTGAACTGAACAAAGGATCTCGAATGCAAATATAAATGCTCATAAGCTCTTTATATTTTAGCTCATTATTTTATAACATCTGCTCTCAAATGTAGCTGTAAGTGTTCTTAAAATTCCAAATATTTTTCACTATTATTTCCAGCAATAATAACAAGTTCAGCTTCAACAAGTGTCTACCCTTAATAAGTATATCCAGAATGGTTGGTAGTTTTGCAGCCTTCACAATCTTTTCCCAATGGATAGGTAATGAAGAACAATAGAAAGTCGTCTAAGCCTGATGCTAAGTAATTTTGGCGAAACTTTGGCAGATACAATGCTAGAGTAGGCTAGTTGTATCTAGCATACGAGTGAAAGGTCAACCTTGTTCTCAACCTCATGTAATGTTTTTTTATACCTTTTTTTTTCCAGACTGAGTCCTCATGGAAATGGGACTGTGAAATGATCAAGTTTAGATATGGCACAGTCGAGTCCTCAGTAAACTGAAACTGCCAAGGATCAGAATAAGCTTTCATTAGATGTGAATTATTCTAAGGATAAGATATCATTCTCGGTCAGATAAGAATGAGTCAATTGCATAAAGGGGGTAAGTTCAAAATCCTTGTTGGAATCAAAGATGCGGGGGCTGAATAAGGATGAAGTATTGGCAAAGAATAAAAGAAGAGATTCTAGATCTTAGTCGATGACACCTGCCATGCTGAAGATAGCTAGTACGATTACTGATAGGATTACTTAGCATAGAGGTTCCGTTGTGCCCCTAGTGCCGAAGTCTGTGCCAAGACGTTTGTTAGGATCTAAGTCTGGTTCACCTTTGGAGAGGCTTGCTACTATGAAGAGTGATAAGGTGGACCGTGTTGCTAAAATGGCGCCATGGCCTACTCTTCTTGTTGCTGAGACTAGTTCGCCTGCTGAGAAAGATGAGATTGCTCGCTTAGGCAGTTGTGAGAAATCCACCAAGCTTATTACTAGATAGGCTGCTGAGATCGGTACGTTTTTTAAGCCATATCTGCTCGAAGATATGGACGTGTGTGACAACCTTGTTAATGGCGTTAGAGAGGTTGTTTGCCTAAGTTCATTTCCAAAGCATACAACTCAATATAGGAGGACTGCTCTACTTGCCATGGTGCAAAAAAACGACGATAATGTAATGGGAGGTCACGCATGGTACTTCCTTATATTGTAGGCTGATCTTGTATGGACCTTCCCAGATGGGATCCATCTTTTTGGAGCTTTCTCTAGGTATTGTGCCATCTGCAGGTTGTTTTCTGTGTACTCCCCAGTAGTTTGGTTGGTGATTAGCTGGGAATTGGAATGAATTGCAAGTTTTTTCACCTCTAAGTCTTTTGCCATTCGGAGGCTTGCTAGTAAAGCTTCGTCCTCTACTTCGTTATTGGATGCTTTGAAGCTTAGAGTGATTGCTTGTTCAAGCATCGAACCGTCTAGGGTGACAAGGACCACGCCTGCTCCCAAGCCTTTGTAGTTAGATGCGTCATCGATGTGCAAATGCCAGAAGTCTCCATCGGGTGAGGCATACATGGCTAGGGTGTGCTCGGTTGCCTCCAGGGTGTCGTTAGGTCGCTCTATTGCATCGTCTAGGCCAGGAGTGAATTTTGCTATGAAGTTAGCTAAGGCTTAGGCTTTTATCGCTGTGTGGGGTCAGAAAAATAAGCCTTATAGGCCAAGTTCCAACACCCATTTCATTACTCATTGAGAGTCATCTGGACCATGTAGGATAGATTTGAGATAATTTTTTAGGTCTTGGAAAGCTCTTTCGCACTCATTAGCCTATTTGTCTCATTGTTCCCTCTTGATTGCTTTGAAAAAAGGTACGCGTCAATCAATGGACCGCAAGAGGAAGCGGTTGAGAGCGGCTACTCGTCCGGTCAAGCTTTGGATCTTTTTCAAGGTAATTGAAGACTACATCTCTAGGATTGCTCGGATCTACTTAGGATGTGATTTGGTTCCTCGTTGGGTTACTAGGTATCCTAAGAATCTGCATGAAGATACTCCTAATATACATTTGGCATGATTAAGCTTCATCTTGTACTTTCTAAAGATGTCAAAAGTTTCCGTCAAGTTGCCAATGTAGTTTAATCGCTGATTGCACTCACCATGATGTCGTCGACGTAGACCCCCATGGTTACTCCAATTTGGTTCTTGAATATCATGTTTACCAGTTGTTGGTAAGTAGGTCCCACGTTCTTGAGGCCAAAAGGCATGACTTTGTAGCAGTAGGTGCCTCGTTCAATCATGAACACGATTTTATCCTTGTTAGGCTTGTGCATGGCTATTTGGTTTATAGCGGAAGTATGCATCCAAGAAACTGAGCAACTGGTTCTTGGAAGTTGAATTTACTAGTAGATTGATTTAAGGAATTGGATAAGGATCATTCGGGCATGCTTTGTTAAGGTCGATGTAGTCTATGCAAACCCTCTATTTTCCCTTCTATTTCTTTATTACTAGCATGACATTGGCTAGCCAAGTTTAGTGTGCTACCTCTTCTATGAATCCGGCTTCTAGTGGCTTGCCGATTTCCGCTTTAGTGATCGCCACTCGTTCAGGTGCGAAATGTCTTATCTTTTGGATCACCAGTTTGGCAGCGGGGTCGACATGCAACTTATGGTAAGCTATCTTGGGGTTAATGTAGGGCATATCAGAAGGTGAGCATGTGAAGATGTCATAATTTTCCCTAATGAAAGCCTTGAGTTCCTCATTTTCCTTCAGGCTTAGAAATGAGCTGATTCTAGCAGTTTTCTTCGGCTGCTGAGGATCAAGAATGATGTGCTTGGCGTCATCTTCGGGGTTTACATCCCGTTTCATCTGCTAGCGCCTTGATTTGGACACCATCTTCTTGATACATTTACTATGATTGTTATTTGGTAGCTTCGTCGTCATTTTGGACTTTGGTAGCCTCTATGAGGGTAAAGGTCTTCTTCTTTGACTCCTTCAGTATTTGGACAGTGCATCGTCGTGATGTGGCATGGTCGCGATTTTTTTTATACTTGACAAAGGTTTCAACATCCAACTTGATCTCATTATAGGGAGATAGGTTGCTTACTATCGTGAACATCTACTTTGAGATGACTGGCGATGTTTTCACGTCAAGTGTAATGTTGCCGATGGCAGCCGAGGTATGTCCGTTGAATCCGGTGAGTACCTTCGCTTAGCGTATGATCATGCTTTCTAGGCCTATCTTCTAAATAATTAAGAAATGAAGTAGGTTAATTGCACTTTCGTTGTCCACCATCATTCTGTTGACTATAGAGTGGGCTAGTTGGAAAGATACCACTAGTGTATCGTCATGTGGGAAGTCAATGCCTTCGGCATCTTGCTCGGTGAAGCCAATGATGGGTCCAGGTTGGGTGACTAATAGAGCTTCCTGAATCTTTCTTTTCTTGGAGTTGTTGGTAGCCCCCAAGTGCTCGGATTCGGCGAAGATGCCATTGATTCGAATTATCTTGGTTGGCGACTCTTCGTCGGCGTCTGCATTCCTTCTAGGCTGCAACTGGCTTGTCCAAGTATATGTCAACCTTGCCTTCTTTCACCAACTTCTCTAGATAGTTCCTCCAAGTGTAGCAGTCATCGGTTGTGTGACCTAGACCTCGACGGAATGCGCAGTACTTGGTGTGGTCCAACTTGGAGGTATCTCATTTTGATTTCTTCGGCAGTTTGAATCATGGTTCTCTCTTGATGTCGTGGAGGATTTGGTGGATCGAGATCAAGAACTTAGAGTAGTTCTTGGGCTTCGGACTTCTTTTAGTCAGGGATCGGTCCCTACGATTGGCCTCCTACTTGCTTTTATTGTTGTACTGCTTCTCATCCTCCTTGTTTTAAGCTACTGCTGATTTTTTTAGAGGCTACTCGGGTGCCTTGTCTGCTCACCAAGCCTCATCCCAAAGTGCATACTTCTCTGCCAGAGCGAATAAGTCTACCAGAGTTAGATCTTCTTTCATGATCAATTTTCCGAATAGCAGGTGGTCTGCTGGTAGTCCTTTTTGAAAGGCTACACTAGCTATTGAGTCGTAGCATCGGACTATCTTTGCCTTCTCTGCTTTGACCCTCTTCACATAGTTGCGGAGCGACTCCTTAGGGTTCTTCTTGACGTTGAACAAGTGGTCAGACTTCTTCTTAATCGAGCGATATGATGAATACTCCTTGGTGAAAACCAAAGAAAGCTCATCGAAACTCTAGATGGATTGTGGGGCAAGGTTTGGAGCCAATCTTGCACCTTACCTTGTAAAGTGGTGGCAAATATCTTATACATAAGAGCGTCGTTGTTCCGATAAAGGATCATTGCGCTTTGGTAGTGCTTTAGGTGCCTCTCCAGGTCTCCATCTCCTTTGAAGGATGTGAAATGTGCCATGTTGAATTTGCGTGGAGGCTCTGCCTACTCGATCTCGTCCATGAAGGGTGACCTACTTATGTTGGTCATGGCCTATAGCAGTGCCTCGTCAATGACCTTGTTGCGTTGGAAATCGAGCAATCGCTCGATCAAGAGCCTCTCTACTTCTTCTTGAATTTGCCTTTGTTGGGGTAGCAAAGCTTCCGGTTGCCCTTAGTCGTGATCTGCTGGTCTAGGCTGCTCTTCCATATGTTCGGCTTGTCTATACCGCAGCTGGGGTGCATGTGGTACGTTCCTAGCAGGTGAGCGAATTACTCACAGGCTACCAGTTGAACTTGAGTCGGATTGAGTGACTGCGTCTCTCCGTCCATCATGCTGCCTACTCCGATGTGAGGTGGAGGATGCTCCTTGCAAGCCCAGTCGCGAACGAACACTTCACCTGGAAGGTTGCTCATGTTGATTATTGGAGTCCAGTCGCGAACGAACACTTCACCTGGAAGGTTGCTCATGTTGATTATTGGAGTATGGCCCCAACCGTATAGATTTCCTTGTTCCTTTCCCCGTTGAGAGTACTTGATTTGTTTGCTAATATATTAACCCTAAAATAGGGATGGTCAAGGAACTAACTGGTGGATATAAAATCAAGCATCATTTGAATGGGCTCGACAAGGATCTAATTGAGATTGACTTTACTCCTCCTTTCAGGTCTGTAAACTATATTTGGGTCATGAATATTACAGCTTAAACGTATGTTAAGAAACTTATTTGGTGGTTTTAACTGTAACTACTGCAGAAGGATCGACATGGTTGAGGAATTAAATAAGATTGGAGGTCTCAACATAAATCCAGAGGATCTCTCTAGTGCGGAAGCTAACCAATATCTTAAGGATGTGTGCAAGAAGTTTGATATCAAATGTTCCCCTCCTGAAACAACAACTCGTTTGTTAGACAAGGTAACTCATTTTCTTCTTCCTCCCATATATTCTTTAAAATCAAGTACATGAATCAGAAGACTATCTCTGGTTTTATGTGGTGGCGGGGAATGACGTTTTCTTTCCCTTTGTCAGTTAAGAAAAAACCTAGTCAGTTAAGAAAAAATGACTCGTGCATCTGTTTTTACTTTTTGGTTCTTTTGCAGCTTGTGGGGCACTTGTTGGAAGAGACGTGTGTAAATCCTGCGTTCATCATTAACCATCCTGAGATAATGAGTCCTTTAGCAAAGTGGCACCGATCAAAACGTGGCCTGACTGAACGTTTTGAATTGTTTATCAACAAGCATGAAGTATGCCTACCAACTTGAGGATTTGAATGATTTCTTTATTGGCTACCTTTTTCTTTGTCATTAAGCCTGTTTACGATTTTCATTTGCTTTCCAGCTTGCCAATGCATACACAAAATTGAATGATCCTGTGGTACAACGCCAACGATTTGCTGATCAACTCAAGGTATCACTTAATTGTTTAGTTATGGTACCTTATTAAACAATTTTTGCAGAAATCTAATGATATATGGTTTTGGGTTCACGACCGACAATCAGGTGATGATGAAGCAATGGTTTTGGACGAAGCATAGAGCTGTTGAGTACGGGTTACCTCCAACTGGTGGTTGGGGTTTGGTCATTGATCGACTCTGTATGTGGCTAACTGATTCACAAAATAATAAGGTTTATCTCCCTTCCCCCCCCCCCCCTCTCTCTCTCTCTCTCTCTCTCTTGTATTTGTTTCGTGTGAGCTGTTTCTCACTGTCTATTGTTTGTGGTTGGATAGGAAGTTCTACTCTTCCCGGCTATGAAACCACAGGATGAGCCTTCTGCTAAAGGTACTAACTTCTTTTGGAATAACTTTCCTCGAACGTGACCAATAAATTTCCGAAGTGCCAAATTTGTATGTCTCTGTTGTGGTATTTTCTTTTGAATAAGGATCTGTTACAACTGAAAAGAAAAAGTCTCTCACCGTCTGTTGGTTTGGTTTCATTAAAAAATTTGTAGTGAAAAATTGGTAAAGTCTTTGAAGGATAACAAATTGGTAATGAAAAAATTTGGAATAAAATTTATTAAAAAATAAATTGAGAGACAAATTCATACCTTTAATTTTCTTCCAATTCCGTCACAAACCTACAACAACATTACTTAATTCCACAATTAAACAAAAAATTTAACAAATAAAAAAAACCTTAAATTAATTGGGAGAGGGATGATGAGAGATGGGTGATGAGTTGGGTATGAGATGGTTGTGAGTGAGAGAGAGTGAGAGAGAGAGAGTAGAAATATTGCAGAGAAGAAGAGTATTGTTGGGGAAAGAAAGAAGAAAGGAGAAGCAGAATGAAAAGGAAGGCCACGTGGCCTGTTTTAGAGCTGGTTTGGTATTGATGTGTTTTGAAAAAAAAACTGATTCTGCTGTGCTGTAAGAATAAGCTCATTTTTTTATGCTGTTTTTAAGTGTTTACCAAACACTTTTTTGAGCTCAGCTTTTTTTTATACCCACTTTTTATAAAAGAACATCAGTACCAAACACCTTTTTGAAAAAAAAACAAAATTACTTAATTACACAATTAAACAAAAAAATTAACAAATAAAAAAACCTTAAATTAATTGGGAGAGGGATGATGTGAGATGGGTGATGAGTTGGGTGTGAAATGGTTGTGAGTGAAAGAGATAGAGAGAGAGAGAGAGAGTAGAAATATGGCAGAGAAGAAGAGAGTTGTTGGGGAAAGAAAGAAGAAAGGAGAAGCAGAATGAAAAGGAAGGCCACGTGGCTTGTTTTATGGCTGGTTTGGTATTGTTGTGTTTTGAAGAAAAAAAAAAACTGATTCTGCTGTGCTGTGAGAATAAGCTCATTTTTTTATGCTATTTTTAAGTGTTTACCAAACACCTTTTTGAGCTCAGCTTTTTCTTATACCCACTTTTTATAAAAGCACATCAGTACCAAACCAATACTTAATGAATTGGGTTTGCTCGACGAAATGGTTTATTTGGTAACCTCACCTATGTCGTCGAGCAAAGAATCGTCGTCGGGCAAACACACAAAAAATGGTCACAAAAAAAAAAAAGATGGTTAGTTTTAGGACAAGTCATTGTGGATCTATACCTGACGACTCGTATACATTGCCTGATGGAACGGTTCGTCAGGCAAAGTCATTTTATCCTACGAATTTGTTCTTCTATCGGTCAAAAGGTGGCATAATACTCACCAATTTTTCCCTTGGCACTAAAGCTTTGTCTGACGAAGAATAGTTTTCTCGTCGAAATGTTTCATCACCTAAGGTCTCTGAAAAAAAATAAAAACATTAACCACTTTTGCCCAACCAAATTTTTTTTGTCTGTCGAGTAAAGTTACTTTGCCCCACGACATTTCGTCAGACAAATAATTTTTAGTAATTATATATAAGTTGTCAAAATAGTTTATATAGCACATGTATACCATTATTGCAGCGTTATGTACCAGTTATAGAATTTCATACGAATAAAAGCTTACACATGACATTACATGATTGACACGAAACGCTACAATGACATTGTACTCATGTATATAAGTCCTTATGCGTAGGTGCTCACAAACAAAATGAAGATATACAAAATTGTTGGAGTACTAGTTCTATGTCCAACGCCTAATAGGTTTTCACAGTTAATTAAAAAAATTCTTAGAATGCAAGTAAGGTTAGAATTGACTAGACATTAGTGTCTTAACCCTAATGACATTATGATAGGAAGACTGCTAAATACAAGACTAAAGTCTCTACACGCACCATGAAATATAACTTAGAATATCGCCCCATTAAATTCAGTGCTACCGAGCGGTGAATGCGCATAACAACTTGGCCAATTAACATGTTTTCAAGACTATAATTTGTTTTGCATCTTCTAAGCAGCCTGCACTAGTTTGAGCAGAATAGGAATTCCTATCCGGATGAGGATCCTAGGGATCAGTTTAACTTCATCATATCCGTTCATAAGTCATTTTGCGGCTAGAAATTATTTTGAATTTTTTATTTAAAATTGAACATAAACAATGCCCAACAAAAAGTAGTTGCACTGTAACAGCCCTTCCCTAAAAATTATGGTTTTTATAATTTTAATACGTGAAATGACGGAAATGCCCTATGGGCAAAGCGCGAATTTTCGAGGACGTGTGTGATTCTCGTATTTTGTCATGTTTCTTGACATATTCGGATAAGGTTCGATCTTACGGACGCGTAGGCACGGGTAGAAGTGATTGTGGAGTTACGGTTAAAGTTTTATTGAGTTACGAACCCGAAGGTATTTGGAATGAAGTATTATTTTAATTATTTTTACACTATGTTTTAATTATTAATACAAAATGAAATATATGCATGGTGGGGGTGTGTGTGTGGGAGAAAAAGGGAGGAAGGAGGGGCTACCTGATGGCAGCGAAGGAGTGGAGAAAATGGAAGAAAAGGGGGAAACCAATCGGGGAAAGAGAGTGGAGAAAGGAGGACCAATGGGAAAGAGAGCAGGAGGAAAGGAGAGAAGAAGAAAATGAGGGAACCCCAATGGGTCTTCCTTGACCCGTGCAACCCGTTTCCTCAAACCAGCGGCTCCTCGCCGTTTCTCGTCCAAATTTCTGACGAATTGGACCTATAAACTGCTCCCAATCATCACCTTGGCCCCTTCTCTTCTTGTTCCACCGTTAGATCGTCACCAAACTTTAATATGTTTTAGTACGTAATATTTGAGGACCATTGGAACTTATGGATCGGGAATCCAATATACGGATTTTCCCGAATTGAATTTGTAAGTTTATGAAATAAAAGGTTAACCGCCACTTAGTTTTGGCAAGTAGCGGAGATCCGACCGTTGGATCGTAATGGGACTTTAGGATGTTGTTCTAGAGGTATAATGTGGATCTTTGGAAGCAACAGATCGGAAATCCATGATGCAGATCTTCCAAATTGAATTACGTAGGGATTTGTTTTATGTAAATTGTGTATTTTATCGGTACGAACTCTGAGATGTGATTTGATAATTGGTCATAGGCGACGATGGTTCGTGATGTCTCGATATGCGTGCTAGGGAGTCGTAGCGCAGACCTCAGGTAAGTGGGTCTTTTCCTTTTTTATCGTATATTATATATATGAGATTGGCAATTCCACAACGTTTATAAATTGCTTATTGCATATAATTACTATGAATGCCTTGAAGTACTTATGTGAACTACGAATGGCTTGATCCCTGTTTATGGTACGTAGGCAGTCTAACGAGACATTAGATGCAGCCATACAATATTTGAAACAAAAACCTTGTTTGGGAATTGAGCAATGTGAAGGAAATTGGTGAAAAATATGAGATTTAACCTTATGTTTTTAGTGATTGGATGTTGGTCAAAAATCAATGTGGAAGGAATCAAGAAACTAAAATAAGGAAACGTAAGTAATGATAGTTAATTAAACTGGTGTTTAGCTGGACTTATCCCTGATAATTATTTTTGAAAATAAATAATTCGAGAGTAGGGCGTTATAGATTGTGCATTTTACGCCAAAATATATATATATATATATGTATGTATGTATGTATGTATTGGAAAAATACTATGATATGGTTGAGTTTTAGATTTGCATTATGGCATATCCATGTGTATACTACCTGCACAAAATTATTACGAATGCTTTGAAGTGCGAAGATGAACACGGAACACATAAGTAAGTTCAGGTGAGTTATGGTATTAGTTGAAATGATTGAGTTATGGGATGATCACATTATGTTTTAGGCAACTCCGACATTGTTGTACAAGTTTCCCATGAGTTGTATATGTCACATGAGATGCATTTAGAGCTCACAAACCTGCACCCCGGTGTTAATGCTCCCGCCCATGGCCAGGGCACAGTCCTTCACGTGATGTTCACGTCCCGCACCTTACGCTCACCCTGGATCAAAGGTAGGTGCACAGGCCTATCGTACAAACCACTATAGGTGGTTTCGAGTCGTGTGCAGGGATATATGATGAGCTATGGATAAGTCGTACAAGTCACTATAGGTGACTCCAACTTATGAGCTAGCATATGTGATGAGATATGTGATGAGCTAGCATATGTGATGAAATATGTGATAAGCTAGCATATGTGATGAGATATGGGTAAGTCATACAGGTCACTATAGGTGACTCCGACTTATGAGTTAACATCGATTGATGAGATATGGGTGCAATCATACAGGTCATCATAGGTGACTCCGACTTGCATGCTAGTATGAGTTATTAATCACATGATTATTGATATTGTTGATAAGACGCTGTGTTGTGGTATATTTATGATTTTCTACAGGTGTTGTAGCGAGGGGTTATGATGTTTTATATGGTTTCTATTAAAATTTTATTTCCAAGGCCACTCACCCTTGTTTTGTCTTCACCCTCAAGGTTTTATTAGCTGAGCTTTCTTATCGTCGATGATTCATGGTGATTCTTAGTATTGGAGATTATTTTGAGGGTACAATTCTTAATTCACTCTACTGTATGCTCTAACGTCACATGTGAAGTGGGTTCGTTCCCGCTCACCAGCGCATTCTGGTATTTAGGCACTCTTAAGTTTAAATTTATTCACAATTTTCCTCATCATCATACTTTATGGCTTCGTCACCCTCCAGGTGTCGACCAGCACAGCTCGATTTGGAGTCCTAGTGGACATCCCGGGTTGGGGTGTGTCATGCACGATGTATGATAAACGGCTAAGATGAATTGATCCCTAAGACCATCTCCAACCATGGCCTAAAACCTAAAAATATTTAGCCCAAAAAATTTAGGTTTTAGCCCGGAAACAGTTTTTCTCCTCCAACCCTTTTGGCCTAAAATTTTAGCCCATGATTATTAAACAATGAACTTAGGCTAATTTTTTTCTTAAATTAACTGTTTTTTTTTTAATTATGTAAACTATCATAATTTAATTTTATGAACATTTTAATCTAAAAATATTTAAATTCCGATAAATATTGAAAAATCACTAAATTGACACTTGAAACTCACCAAACTTTTAACTTTCACCAATCGTTCAACTTTCACCAAACTTTCACTTTTCACCAACCGTTCAACTTTCAACAAACTTTCAACTTTCACCAACCAGTCAACTTTCATCCTTTATATAAACACAAGTCCAATATCAGTTCTCACACAATCTTTCAACCTTCAATCATCCTCTATATTCACCAATCTTTCAACTTTCAAAGTGTTTTAGTTTCCTAAAAATCCTCAATATCTCACCAATGGGTGATAGAAGAAGGAGTAGCAGGGCAATGCAAATGGCACAATACCAAGCAAGGCTTGACATTAAAAATGCTGAAATGATCAACACCGAAGCCGAACTTGTAAACTTGCTTATGCAATATAAGCACCATGTCGAATCTAGTCATCGTGGTTCTGTCACGGGGCCTTCATTTGTGCAGCGTGATAAAGAAGAGTGTCATAACCGAATGATGAAAGATTATTTCATCGAGCATCCGAGATTTCCTCTTTATGATTTTAGGAGGCTGTTTCGAATGAGGAGAGAGCTTTTTGAAAGCATATTGAACGCAGTTGTCAATCATGACCATTACTTTGCAAGGAAGATAGATGTCATTGACCGACAAAGTCTGTCACCTCATCAGAAGCTCACTTCTGCATTTCAGATGCTAGTTAATGGATGCTCTGCAAACTCTACTGATGAGTATTGCCAACTTGCGAAAATTACTGCTATTGAGAACCTAAAGCGCTCATGTCAGGCAATTTAAGCCATATATGGAGCCACATACATCCGCAAGCCAAATTGTGATGACTTAAAGAGGCTTCAACGCAAGGTAAACAAAAGAGGCTTCCCTGGCATGATAGGAAGTCTCGATTGTATGCATTGGGAGTGGAAGAATTATCTTACTGCTTGGGCTGGCCAATTCAAGGGCCATCATAACAAGCCAACCATCGTGCTTCTTACAACATATGGATTTGGCATGCATTATTCAGCGCTTCAAGATCAAACAACTATATCAATGTTCTTTGGTCTTCACCTCTATTCGATGATGTTGTCAATGGATGGGCACCAGAATTTCGGTACAAGGTCAATGGTAATAGGTATGAGCTAGGTTACTACCTAACTGGTGGTATTTATCCTAGTTGGTCTACCTTTGTCAAAAGTTTTTCTCATCCTGATAGTGCAAAGAAGAAATTATTTTCCCAGAGGCAAAAGTCTTACAAGAAGGATGTGGAAAGAGTGTTCGGGATCCTACAAGCTCGATGGGCCATTGTTAGAAGGCCTGCACGACTTCAGCATACCAAAGACCTCCATTCAATCATGATGACGTGCATAATTTTGCACAACATAATTGTGGAAGATGAGTACATCGAAATTGAAGAAGATTCATATGAAGATGTGGATGATGACCAACCAATACATGCGAGAGCTATTGCAAGAGATATTGAACATCTTTCTGAAACCACATATGAGACCCGACAGGATAGTGTCACATTGACACCTTCATTCGCACCTTCATTGAAATCATTTAGGAGCAGGGCTTCACTATGAAATAACATTCCCCATTGTTGGTCCACATCAGTTTCCCACCTCGGACAATCCTTGAGGATGTTCCAAGCATGATGCAACTTAAAAGCTTGATTTTTTGGTGTAGTTCTTGTCTTGTAAATTGCCATTGCTTTGTCACCCTATGCAAAAAATACATAAAAATAATTAGTTGCAAAATACTATTATGTACATGACAAATAAAATATCAACAAAGAAACTCACAATTTCTGAGGCGCCCCTCTACTAGGCATGTCAACCATACGGCTCTCCAAGCTTCCCTTCCACAAAGTGCACGCTTTGTTGATAATATTCCACCGATCATAAACACCACAAGCTTCCCTTTGACTGACATTCGAGTTTTCATGGAACTTATCAACGATTTTACCTCACAAAACCTTTCTATTTTGATTCATGCCAATGGCACCATCTTCGCTAACAGAAATCCATATCAAACATAAAGCAATATCTTCGTCAAATGTCCAATTATGACCTCTAACATGCTCTTTTGCCATCTTGAAAATTTTGGAAATGAGAAGAAATGGTAGAAAGAAAAACTGGAAGAATTGTAGGAGAAAAGTGTGTTTTGTGTGGATGTTTGAACAAATACATAGGTATTTATAGAGTTTTTGGTTGAATTTTGAGTTAAATATTTTTTTAAAATTATTTTAGCTGTTGGATTTAAATTTGGACCGTTATATCTTCTTTTTTTACCGTTAGATTTGATTATATTCGATCTAAGCAGCTGGATTCAATAAATATATAAATATAAAACAAACAAACAACAAAATTTGAACGTGGACCATTGGATTAACCAATGGTCCAATTAAACCTGGTCGTTGGATGAAGAAAAGTAGTTGTTCGGCTACGGTGACGCTGACATGCAATGGGGACAGCCCTATATGGGTGGGCCTTGGCTGAAAAAGTATGTGGCACGTGCAGCGCGTTGGGAGATTGGGCTTTTGGGTGTGGGCTTCACATCCTACTTTTCACTCTCACCCGTGGGTCCCACTTCAATTTGTGGGCTAAATTGTGACCGGTATTTGGCCTCCTTTTAGGTTTTAGGTTTGGTTTAGGTTTTGGGTTGGGTTGGATTTTTTTTTGGGGGGGGGGGGGGTTGGATTTTTTTTTTTGGGGGGGGGGGGGGGTTGGGTTTTTAGCCCAGGGTTGGAGTGGGTCTAAAAAGAGGCCAAGGTCACAATTTAGCCCACAAATTGAAGTGAAGCCCACACCCTAAAACCTAATCTCCTAACATGCTGCATGTGCCACAGATTTTTCCAACCAAGGCCCACCCACGTGGGGCTGTCCCCCTTGCGTGTCAGCGTCACCGTAGCCCAACGACTACTTTCTTCATCCAACGGCCAGGTTTAATTGGACCATTGGTTAATCTAACAGTCCACGTTCAAATTTTTTTTGTGTTTGTTTTATATTTATATATTTATTGAATCAACGGCTTAGATTGAATATAATCAACTAATGGTAAAAAAAAAAATCTAACGGTCCAAATTTAAATCCAACGGCTAAAACAATTTAAAAAATATATATTTAACTCAAAATTCAACCAAAAACTCTATGAATACCTATGTACTTGTTCAAACATCTACACAAAACTCACTTTTCTCCTACAATTCTTCCAATTTTTCTTTCTACCATTTCTTCTCATTTCCAAATTTTTCAAGATGGCAAAAGAGCATGTTATAGGTCGTAATTGGACCTTTGACGAAGATATTGCTTTATGTTTGGCATGAATTTTTGTTAGCGAAGATGGTGTCATCGGCACGAATCAAAATAGAAAGGTTTGGTGGGGTAAATCGTTGATAAGTTCCATAAAAACTCCAACACCAGTCGAAGGGAAGCTTGGAGAGAGTCATGGTTGACATACTTAGTGGAAGGGGCGCCTCAGAAATTGTGAGTTTCTTTGTTGATATTTTATTTGTCATGTACAAAATAGTATTTTGCAAATAATTGTTTTTATGTATTTTTTGCATAGGGCGACAAAGTAATGGCAATTTACAAGACAAGAACTACACCAAAATATCAAGCTTTTAAGTTGCATCATGCTTGGAACATCCTCAAGTATTGTCCAGGGGGGAACCGATGCGGACCAACAATGGGGAAGATTATTTCATAGTGAAGCCCCGCCCCCAAATGATTTCAATAAAGGTGCCAATGAAGGTGTCGAATAAATGACCCCAACTTCTCCTATTGCAAGGCCCCCGAGAGAGATAAGCAAAAGGAAGCAAAGAGAAAAGGGAAGTCCCAAGATCCAATTAGTGGACCCATTGATACCGGAATTGCAAAATTGAGATAAACCCATAACGCTCACCAAGAAGAAGCGGCCTAAATGCGTTTGCAAATGAAGGAAGAAGGGGATAGGGAGCAAGAAAGGTTTGAAATAAATTTGATGATAGAGGACCTCAACAAATACACTCGAGAGAGGAAGAAGTACTTACGTGGTAAGCAAAGGGAAATTTTGCAAAGGGATGCCAAAAGGAGTATATTTCAAGAAGATAATTCATCTCAAGGCTATAGCCCAAGTCCAACACTAAGTCTATCACCAAATCAAGATGGTGGATATCATTATTAAGTTTATGTAGTTTATGAATTTTCGATTATATTAAGTTTATGTGGTTTATGTGGTTTATTAATTGTCGTTTGTATTAAGTTTATATACTTTATTATTAATTATTGTTTCTATTAATCTAGAAGCCTTCAATAATTATTGTACTTATTATTCCACACTTTGATGTAGAATAGATGCCTTCAGTAATTCCACCTCCATTCAATAATTTATGTAATGTACTACACAAAATACTTTGCACAAGAAGACACTTAAATTTATTACAAGAAAATACCAACATAGTATACTTAAAATTATTACATAAATGCTCAACCAACATCATCAACGTTCACCTTCTCGGTGCCATACATGCTCAACCAAATCCTTGCTGAGTGTATCATGGCCTTGAGGAGGTTGAATTCTATTTAAACGTTTCATATACTCACTCAATGTGACCATATCCTATTGGGTCTCATATGTGGTTTCAGCGAGATATTCAACATCTCTTGCAATAGCTCTCGCATGTGTTGGTTGGTCATCATCCACATCTTCATTTGAATCTTTTTCAATTTCGATGTACTCATCTTCCACAATCATGTTATGCAAAATTATGCACATCATCATGATTGAATGGAGGTCTTCGTTATGCCAAAGTCGTGCAGGCCCTCTAACAATGGCCCATCTAGCTTGTAGGATCCCGAACATTCTTTCCACATCCTTCTTGTAAGACTCTTGCCTCTGCGAAAATAATTTCTTCTTTGCATTATCGGGATGAGAAATTTTTTTGACAAAGGTAAACCAACTAGGATAAATACCATCAGTTAGGTAGTCACCTAGCTCATACCTATTACCATTTACCTTGTACCGAAATTCCAGTGCCCATCCATTGACAACATCATCGAATAGAGGTGAAGACCAGAGAACGTTGATATCGTTGTTTGATCTATAAGGGCCGAAGAATGCATGCCAAATTCATGTGTTGTAAGACGCCATAGCCTCAAGCTTGATGGTTGGCTTGTATGATGGCCTTTGAATTGGCTAGCCCAAGCAGTAGGACAATTCTTCCATTCACAATGCATACAATCGAGACTTCCTATCATGCCAGGGAAGCCTCTTTTGTCTGCCTTGCGTAAAAGCCTCTTCAAGTCTTCATGATTTGGCTTGCGGAGGTATGTGGCTACATATATGGCTTGAATTGCTTAATAAAAGCGATTCATGTTCTCAATAGCAGTACTCTCTGCAAGTCAACAATACTCGTCAATTGAGTCTGCAGAGCACCCATTAGCTAGCATACGAAATTCAAAAGTGAGCTTCTAATGAGGTGATAGACTTTTTCGACCGACGACATCTATCTTCCTTGCAAAGTAGTGGTCATCATTGATAACTGCGTTCAATATGCTTTCAAAAAGCTATCTCCTCATCCGAAACCGTCTGCGAAAATCATGAGTAGGAAATCTCAAACGCTCAATGAAATAATCTTTCATCATTCGGTCATGACACTCTTCTCTATCACGCTGCACAAATGAACTCCCCGTGTGTCCGTGACAGAACCACGATGGCTAGATTTGGCATGATGCTCATATTGCATAAGCGAGTTTGCAAGTTCAGCTTCAACGTTGATCATTTCAGCATCCTCAATGTCAAGCCTTGCTTGGTATTGT